GTCCTCGAAGGGTGGCTCCTTCGTCTGGCAGCCACTGCACCGAAGTGGAGCAGGGCAGGGCAGGGCAGGGCAGGGCGACGGCGGGCAAGATGGACGGATGCAACGGATGCGAAGACATGCCAAAGAAGCATGGGCAGCCGGAAGCCCGCCAGCAGAGGGGTTTTTATATTCCTCAACCTACCCACACCCCCCCCAAAAATGGGGCGGGAGGAGGCCAAAACTTGATGACTGCAAAACTGGACTTTGAGGGGGCGTGTGCACAAAAGCAGCAGCAGAACAAAGCCAACAAAAACTCGCGAGCAGCAGCAGCTGAAAAAAAAGGGAGAAAAATACAAGAGACGAGGAGCGAAAAGGGGCAGACCGGCGATTTCATTTTGTTTGATTGTTTGATTTCTGCTCCGCGTCGTGACCAACGTCCAGTGCATTTTGGCGCAGTCGGTTGAAGGGTCTCCGGCGTAGCCTCAAGACTTTCAGTGCGCCACGACCTAAACGGAAATCTGACTAAGGGGGAATGGGGGAAAAAACTGGGACTGGTCTGAACTGGAGTGGAGTGGAGAGCCAGGACCACCGCTGTTGATGATGAAAAACGCACTCGAATTAAAAGGTTTTGCCTGAAACGGGGACCGGACATCAACCTGATCAGAGGAGGAGCTGCAGCGCTTTGGGGGGTTGAACTACGAGTGGTTGCAAATGAATCAAATTAAAATATTTATGGGGATAATCTGTCATTTGAAGAAGTGAATTTTCCACAAGCAAGAAAGCAGCCAAAATTGGAAAGGAAAAACTTAAATGTCTGAACTTAAACTGAATTTAAATGTCTTAAATGTCTGAAAAAACTTCCTTTTAATAAATCAAAATAAAATAATAAGCAAAAAAAAGGATTATAAGAATAAAATAATTTTATATCACCAAAAGAGATAATACCTTAACCCTAAAGTAAGATAAATAAAACGTTTAAAGAGCATTTATAAACAATTGACCGAAATATTAGGCATAATTCAAATTAATTAATAAGGATAAAGAAGGGAGGTTGCCAAGCTTATAGAAATTAACCCCGAAATAGGAATGTCCTGGCAGGAACGGGGTGCACTTCCACTGCAGTCTAACTGCAGTTATCCTGCGTGCACGGAAAGGGTAAGGTGGATGGGGTCTCAGAAGGACCAGGAGCAGAAGCAGGACCAGGACGAGACGAGTTGAGCCAGACAGCCAGCATATTGCAATTTCGCAAATCAAACAAAAGGCAGCCGCAGAAAAAAACACAACACCGTGGGATGGGGGCAAAGGCGCTCGACCAAAAGGACAATGCACAGGCCGAGGATGGCACAGGATTGAGGACTCAGGAGGCAGGACGCAGGACTCAGGGCACAACTCGGCTAATATGCATTGCACATGCAGCGAGTCTTACGCGGAGCTGGAGAATCAGGAGTTTGGGGGCTTTAAACTTTTTTCATGACTCTTGTTTCGGCAGTTTGTTTGCCCAGCAAATGCATCCAATGCAATTTTTCGGGCCGCAATGTAGACGCAAGTCCTTGCTGCAATCAACTTTGCCAGGATAACGGGTAACCAGGATCCGGCAAATGTTGGTTTGAGATATGGAGGAGCAGCGATGGTTAAGCGAACGCTTCGCAAGTCAATCAGTCCAAAAAAAGCAAAAACAAAAAAAGAACAAAATCAAATGGGAAACAGAAAAGTCCCAAGCCGGCTAAAGTCCTTATTATCCTTGCATGTTGCTGGAGAAAAAAATGCAATATCGAATGCATTTGGAGCTGCAGCCACGCCCCTAACTCTACCCCTCTATCAACTAAACGCACTGCAGCCGCAAAGAAATTGCGAAAATGAAAACAACAAAAAAAGTAGGAAAATTGGGAAATGGGAAGCTCGCGAGAGAGAGATTTTCAATTAAAAGGAATTGCTGCTCTATGTGGATTTTTGTGCTTATTAGCCTGCCTATCCGGCCTTCAGCCCCCACCCCATCCCCTCTTGCCAACCTAAAACCACTCGAAAGCCGTGCACATTTGGTAATCAATTTCTGTTGTTGCTGCCGTTGTTGTTTGGCGGCTGACTGACAATCTTTGCTAATAAGCTGCCCCCAGGCGCCTCCAACATAGCCTACATCTACACTGAGAGGAAAACTATGCTAATGACTAGTTGGGTGCTTAAAAAATCTAAGAAAACCTGTTAATTTTTATAGAAATTAATTTTAAAAATTAAATAATATCCACATTTAAGAGCTCTTGGCAGAAAAAACAATTTAAATTCCCTTTTAACTTTCTCATTTTCAACAAATTTCAAGATATTTCTCTGTGTGCACCTACACAGAGCACAGATGAGATGATGCACTTGCATTATGCAGATTTTAGATTTCTGAATTGCGCCGCCGAAATGCATTCTGTGGCAGCCTCCTTTTCTGGGCCTGTCCCTGTTGTTGCCGCCGCTTTTCAATTAGGCCAATCCAAGCCAAGCCAAGCCATCGCAGATTCTGGTGAGAGGCAAAGGATTAGTTCCATCATTATCTATTCCGTATGTGGGCAGAAGTGTCGCATTTTGAAGGAGAGATGGAGGCAAACTGCCACATGGGCAAAATATTATTGACAATTCTTCGGGCCGATGACAGAACAATGGCGTGCGGAATGCAAATCCTTCAGTCAGCTAATATTGTTTATCCCTAAGCAGTCTTCCCGGGAAGGAACAAAGCCGGAAAAACTATGCAAAAATATAACAAAAAGCGAGGAAAGCAGTGAAACTGCTAGACCAGATCGAAAGGAAAAACTCTTTGACAATGGCAGGTAGCGACTGAGGGTCGGGGATGAATGAATGGATGAATGAACGATCTAACTGCATAGTGAGTCCTGCGATGCAAAGTAAGTGCAAAGGATTTGCAACAACCAAAAGGGCTGAAGTGGCCGACAAATGATTGACGAAAATGCCCCGGAAAACTGTGAGAAAATCAGCCGTTTTCTTGATGAAAATCGTAGGTTTTACCCCCTCTCATTTGGCAGCTGGAAATTGTGATTTTTCTTTTATTGTCTGGGATATATTTGGATTCCAGATTCCCTCATTTGGCTGGCCATTGTTTGCATCCTTGATCGGAGGTTGAATATGACACTTTCCAAGAAGGCATTGTTTGAACGGGTTAATTTGTGTATTTTAGCCAAGAGCCAGCTGTTATTGAATATCGACAGTGAAACGTAAACCCAATTAAAGACCTAAGTCGCCGCACACATTTTGCGGCACGTTCGGCCTTCATTTTGCACCTTTCGCGATGCGGCAAGAAGGACGCAAAAATGCAGATCACGGCCCAAGGAGTCATCGTTCCAATGGCAAGCCAAGTCGTAATCGATATGCACCCGCATTTGTCTGTCAAGATGCTGCCTTTTTCTGGCCCTGAATCTGGAGACCATAACTCATCGGGGCAATGTGCAAAAGTGCCTGTATCGCATATCCTGTGGCTGCTTTGTTTGCCGAAGATCCTATTGTCCATAATCGAAGTCAGCTGCAGTTGCAATCTGTTTTTTCCGCATTCAGCACGATCAAATATTGCCGAAGAAAGATCTTTCCCTTTATAGATGGGGATATAGCATCCTGATCAGGTGGCGCGTGTCCGCTGGTGGCCAACTGTGATTTGTCGGTCGCATTATGTTCTATCTATTATTTTTGGGGCGTCAGCTGTTGTGCGTGCCACGTGTTTGTGGCAGATACTTTTGCCAAAGGCAGTACGTCGTCTTATCGACTGCATGCTGAATTACCCGCTTCCTCATTAACATGTCACTTTGGCCTACTTGTCTTGGCTTCTTTGGTTCATCTAAATGCAAATGCTTACTACCCAAATTCCCCAACACTTTCATTTCCGAATCTCAAAGTCAAAAGAATAATGTTAATTTTCAACTGCCAAGCTAAGAGAGCACTGAGAGAAAAAATCTTAGGAATATGTTTATTTTTAATACGTAGTTTAAAATTAAGTGCAATGTACATAAAAGTACACTTTGTATTATCTTTTTTCCCTTAAAAGAAGGCAAATTTGAATGGCCAAGTTCTAGAAGTTAGGATGACATTTTTTCCAAGTGGATGGCCAAAAGCTTTTTAATTAAGCCCTGCCTTTAAGGAGGGGACCACGAATCGGGAATCGAGGAGAAATCAGAGAAAAACTGTTATTATAATAATCATCGTCTACGTCTGCAAGCGGACCATCTCCCAACCGCCCAACAACCCCCCTTCTTGTCGCCTACTTTGTCATTATAATTTTTCCTTTCAGCTGGCCAAAGCGATGCCAAATGAAAGAAATTTTTGCGGGCCAAAAGAAATGCATTTTATTATTATTATTATTATTTGTTGTGGTGACTTTTTAATCATTCCCTACCAAAACAAAGCAGTTGAACGGAGGAGGTTGAGCGGGCTGAGATGCGAGGATGGGGTTGTTGTTCAAGAAGTGGAACCACTGGCCGATTCTTATTGGTGCACCAATACCATTTCGGACAGCTCAGACAGATATGGCCATCGGCTACTCCCACACCGATGACGACCGACCGCTCGACAGACGAAAACTCAGCTGATGACGACGACGAATGGGAATGTCTCGAGAGTACAAAAACAACAGCTACTATCACTACCACCACAATCAAAAGAAAACCCATACCAATGCACGAAAGTTCAACAAAGCCGAAGACGAAAACCACTACAAAGAACGACCAAATTCGCCGCAAAAACGAAGAAGCCCGAAGTTCAAAAGGCCGAAGACGAAATGCCTCCCCTTCGCAGCCGTGACGTCACACCTCAAGAAAACCGCTGAAGGAAACGACCTTCAAGGCAGCCCGCAGCGAATGAGTGGGAAATGGGCAAACCAAGCGATGAGGAAGAGCAGGTAATGGAAGAAGAGCAGTTTGAGAGAAGGAAGAGCATCACAAGAAAAGAGCGCAAGAAGACGCTCTTTCCATGCTCACTCTCTTAGGCTCTGTTGCTCTCCCTCTCTCTCAGCAGACCGTCTCAAGACCTGTCTTCAGATATCGCGCTCAATGCGTTTCAGTACTAATTCAGTACTACGCTTATAAACAACTTCTTTATTTTACTGGAAATTCGTGACGCGCCTTGTATCTGAAAAGTTTGCTCTCGCTCTACGGATACGAATACGAGATACATTTGTGGACTGGATTAACACTAATTCGTTTTTGATTGCCGCCAAGGGGGGCGAATGGTATCGCCAATGGACCGAAACGTAAGTAAAGTGTGTAATTAACCAAGCACGCGGTTGGGATTTCAGTTATCCAAGTTTTTTCATATTCATAGCCGTAGATAAGCCGTAGATCAGATCCCTTGGGGAACTCTTACAGCCTTATCTTGCATGTTGTGTCTTTAAGGGGGGCGTTCTTTCGTTCTCAATTAAAAAGAGGCGTTTTTATTAAGGTCAGCTAATGGATCATCTGTATGTATATCATCATCGCTTCTTTTGTGAGTAGTAAGTGTATTAAAGAACAAGCGGCAGACATGAGGCGCCTGTTGAAGTTCCCCAAAGTCGCCGATGACTCAGTGCAGGCGCGGATAAAAATCGGGTGAAGGAAAAAACAAAAGAAGAACGGCCAGAGAGAACCAGAATCAAAATAGAAGAACCAGAAGGAGAGGCGTTCCGAAAAAAAAACAAGCTGAAGATCCCATGGGCAGAGAGAAAAACAAAAAGGGGAGAAAGGGAAAACGAGATGGGAGACGACCCGCACATGTTGACATGTGTTGGTATCTTGGGAAAATCATGAGAGTGGAGAGGGAGGTAGGGAGCTTGGGTTGTGTGAAAAGTGGGGGTAACCTCTTAGGTGGGGTACATTGAACTTGGTGGCACAAGGGGAGCGATTAAAAACCCACCAAGAGATCACAGATCACAAGTTCCCAGAATTGAAATCAAGCCAAGCCGAGAAGAACTTGTTGTTGCTATTGCTTTTATGGCGAATTTCCACAGATCTGTGATGTTGTTATTGCGAAAAAAAGATGAGGAAAGAGGGAAGAAAGAAGAAGATCAGGTCAGGCAAAAATAATAAATACAAAGACCCAAAAGTGGCAGCTGCAATTTCAAAATTTCACAAAAACTCATACACACACACACATATTATCAAAACTGAGAGGGAAACACACAGACACAGACTCAGGCAAGCAAAGGAGCTGAAAAAGGAAGCGAAGAGCCGTAGGAAAAGGAGACCAGACAAAAGGCAAAGCAGGGATGACGAGAAAAGGTTGCAAGCAAAACAAGTCAGCAGGATCAAGGACACACAGGCACAGGCCTCTAATACACACACACAAAGAAGCAGGCAGAGAAAACCTGAATTCGTTACACGAACCCAAAGCCAAAGAGAGAGAAATGCAAGCGAACGAGAGGGCCAAAAGAAAAGGCAGATTAAGGACCCGTTCCTTTGTAGCACTTAATGTTTCACAATGCATCCATAGGTAGGTAAAACCCATTAGGGTAGTTCCCTCATAGGTAATAGTGTGTGTGAGTTTATATAGCGATTGAGATCGCCAGGACATGCAAAAACTAAAAATAGAAAGAACAGAGAACCGAAGAAAATACTTTATCACAAAGGGAAAGATTAGTTTTTCAGGTCAATTGAAAATGTGTTGTTAGGGGTGAGAGGAAATTACTTAGTGCACAGTGGTGCAAGGGCAATAAAATAATATTCGAACATAGGGAATGTCAACAAAAGTTTTTGATATGACATAAGCATCTTAGAATTTTCTGCTTATGAGTAATCTTAATGTTAACTTGATAAGGCATATAAAATTCTATATTTTTCTTTAAAATAGTAATGCATAATTCTAAGAGCACAATGTGGGAAAAAAATATAACAAATTCTTAGATATATTGTTTAGTCATCCATTTTTTGTTTATGATACAAGTTTTCAGTAAATAGCAGGAGCGATTGTTTTTAGTACTATTAATTGTTTATATGGTTTAATAATAACATGTATACCTTCTATTAAGAATCAACAGCGAGTTTTCTATTCAAAATACAACCTCTAATCGAATCATTATTCCCTCTAACCAACAGAAGGCAGCTGCTACTCCTCTGTGACGAAGGAAACCGAATACCACCAGCTGGGGTATATCCTCGCTAGTCGCAAACAAGAACAACAGGGGCACCACACGATCGCAACGGAGGATCACAAAAGGCTCGTGCCACATGAACCAGGGGGTTGGTTGGTGATAGCGCCTCCTGAAAGAAGTACCGACTCATGCGGTCGTGCGTCGAGACAAAGTGATCCTGCCACAAGGAGCAGGACGAGCCGCTTATCAGCCATGCATGGAATTTGGGGTGGCTGAGGGTTGCAAACACACGTTCTTATCTTAAAGCTCAAGCTGTCGGGAGGGTGACGAAATAGAGCAGATGTTCAAACAACGGCACCGATGACTGATGACTAACGAAACCCAGCAATTTCATCCAGAGGGGAGGCGATAATTCTCATCAAACGACGCGTGTTAGGCACACTTGTAGATCCTCGAAACACGAGCAACTTTCGCCTAGGCACTCAGATTCAAAACCAAATTTCCAGTATTATAATGTCCGTGGACAACAGCTTAGGAATTCTGGACTTCAGTTTGGCCAAGGACAATGAAAAAACCACAATGACAGCAGCCAGCGTATACAAAACGTCAGACAAGGAAAACGATCCAGATTCCCATTTGACGGGAACTATAGTCACCACAGGCGCCACCGCCCAACCAGCTACGCCTATTGCCTCAGTCGTTGCCGCCCTACCAGCCACACCTACTGTATCGGCTAGCCAGGATGTTGGCGACGGTGCCAGCCTTAGTACCAGTTCGGAACATAAGTTTCAGTCATATGTCAATGGCAATGGGAATGGAGTCTACAAGATCATCAAGACACTGGGAAAGGGAAACTTTGCCAAGGTCAAGCTGGCGATTCATGTCCCCACTGGCAGAGAGGTGGCCATTAAAGTGATCGATAAGACCCAACTGAATACAAGCGCCCGGCAAAAGCTGTACCGAGAGGTGAAGATCATGAAGCTACTGAATCACCCGAATATCGTCCGTCTGTTCCAAGTCATCGAGTCGGAAAGGACGCTCTACCTGGTAATGGAATACGCCAGTCGCGGCGAGCTCTTTGACCATCTTGTCAAGAACGGACGGATGCGAGAACGGGATGCCAGGGTGATCTTTCGGCAATTGGTATCAGCTATTCAGTACTGCCATAGCAAGTTTGTAGTCCATCGTGATCTCAAGGCAGAGAACTTATTGCTGGACCAGAACATGAACATTAAAATCGCTGACTTTGGCTTTGGCAATACCTTCGATCCCAATGCCCAACTGGAAACCTTTTGTGGAAGTCCTCCCTATGCTGCACCTGAGCTCTTCATGGGCAGAAAGTATGCTGGCCCGGAAGTGGACGCCTGGTCCCTGGGTGTGGTGCTTTATACCCTTGTCAGTGGGTCCCTTCCTTTTGATGGAGGCACCCTAAAGGAGTTGCGGGAACGAGTCCTTCGGGGCAAATATCGTGTGCCCTACTACATATCCATGGACTGTGAGAATCTAATGAGGAAATTCTTGGTCCTGAATCCCGCCAAGCGCACTTCGCTTTCGGCTGTCATGTCGGATAAGTGGATAAATCTGGGTCACGAGGAAGGCGAAAGATTGCGACCTTTTCGGGAGAAGCCTATGGAGCTACAGGATATGGCTCGGTTTGATTTATTAATGAGCATGGGCCACAAACGGCGGGATGTGGAGCAGTCGGTAAAAGGACAGCAGTTCGACGACATCTATTGCACCTATATGCTCCTGGGCGTGGCCAAGCCGCGCTCCTCAAACCGCAGTGCCAAAACTGAGGCTGTCCCGACAATAGATTTAACTACTCCACCAGTCAGTAACCCACTTCCTACTATCACTACGCCCACTGTTACCATAGCCCAAGTAACTCTCGCGCTGGACAAGAATCCGGCCATACACTCCGCCTCCCCTTCAAGTCGGCAAGCAGCTCCTCGTTTGGCAAATGCCCCGAATACGCCTACTTCGACGCCACCTTCGGGACCACCGGCCAAACCCACACGACGCACTCCAGCCCGCACACCAGCCCGCAAGGTCACAAACCATTCAAGCGGCCAAGGACGCCCCGAGCCCTCCAGTCTCCCACACACTCCGCAAACCAAGAGATGCAGTGCCAATATGGATGTCAAACCAACGCTACTAAGTGCCCAGCGACAATTGGCTCAGACCCAGAAGATGGCCAGTACACCGCCACGCTTTCAGTACCCCGGTTCGCAAACACCAAATCAAGCTCAGGGATGCAATAGAAGGCCCACGACTCTTTACGAGAAGGCAGAGCCGGCAGCCACCCCCCTTCTGGTGCCGAAGTCGCCGGCCATCGGTGGGCGACTAATGGAACGAATTCCAGGAGCTGGAGCAGTGGAAAAGACATCCGACAAACCCTTTACGCGTCACAATGTTGCGCGGGCCACTTTTCATTTTGGCCAGGCACGAAGTGGAAAACGAGGTGGTGGATCTGGGGGCGGTACTGGCGGGGAGGAGGACAACTACCAAACGCCACCCTTATCTGCTGATGACACTAAACCCGCCTCGCGTGTAGGCTTCTTCTCTAAGTTGACCGCACGCTTCGGTCGTAGAGTGATCCACCTGAACGAGAAGGATGCCACCGAGCAGCGTAAGAATCTCACCAAATAGTCAGTTGTCCTGCGAAATGGATCTTAACGGAGTGAGAGGAAGACTTAGTGATACAGCAAGTGATACAACAGGCCCTGCCCGAATAATCAATCGATCTATCAGAAATCCTAGAAACCAGTTTGTCTTACAAGTATGCGGCGAACGTGTTGTCGGGATTTTCAAAAAATAACCCCATCAGAAATGACAGCAGCAAACTCAGACAAAACGTCCGACAAGGAGAACGATCCCGATTCTGATACTGAACCAGTCGCCATTGGAGCCACCAGAACCACGGCTCAGCCAGCGAAGTCCACTACGGCCACGCCCACAAACTCAGGCGTCCAAGATGCCAGCGGCAATTCTCCGCTTATGTTCCAGTCGTACGTTGATGGCAATGGGAATGGCGTCTACAAGATCATTAAGACAGTGGGAAAGGGTAACTTTGCCAAAGTCAAGCTGGCGATTCATGTGCCCACCGATCAGGAAGTAGCCATCAAAGTAATCGACAAGACTAAACTGAATACAAGCGCCCGGGAGAAGCTTTACCGAGAGGTGAAGATCATGAAGCTATTGAACCATCCAAATATTGTAAAACTCTTCCAAGTCATCGAGTCGGAAAGGACACTCTACCTGGTAATGGAGTATGCGAGTGGAGGAGAGCTCTTCGATCATCTGGTGAAGAACGGAAAGATGAGCGAGAAAGATGCCAGAGTGCTCTTCCGGCAATTGGTGTCCGCGATTCAGTACTGTCATGGAAAGTCCGTGGTACATCGTGATCTCAAGGCGGAGAACTTATTGCTGGACCAGAAAATGAACATTAAAATCGCGGACTTTGGATTCAGCACTACCTTCGATCGTGATGCCCAACTAGAGACGTTCTGCGGAAGTCCACCATACGCCGCCCCTGAACTCTTCAGAGGCAAAAAATACACCGGGCCAGAGGTGGACTCTTGGTCATTGGGAGTCGTGCTCTTTACCTTGATTAGTGGTTATCTACCTTTCGATGGTGGCACCCTCAAGGAGTTGCGCGATCGAGTTCTTCAAGGTAAATACCGTGTTCCCCACTACACCTCAATATATTGCGAGAACCTGATTAGGAAATTCCTGGTTCTGAATCCTGACAGGCGTTTAACCCTATCGGCAGCCATGGAGGATAGGTGGATTAATATGGGTCATGACGAAAACAATAGGTTAACTCCATTCCAAGAGAAGTCCATGGATTTGCACGATTTCCATCGATTGGATATATTGAAGAGTATGGGCCATAAGCGGCGGGATATAGAGCAGTCGCTAAAGGAGCAGAAGTTCGATGACATCTATTGCACCTATATGCTCCTAGGATTATCAAATACCGGCTCAAAATCTGTGGCTTCCTTGCCGGATACACCATTTTCTTCTGCGGTTCTTCCTGTTCCTGCAACTCCGAACAAGGTTACTGTGACTCAAGTCTCCTTTGATCTAGACAATAATGTTCCCATCCATTCTGCCGCTGCTACCAGTCGTCCCATAGCTCCACGTTTGGCAAATGCCATCCTTACGCCCATCTCGGAACCACCACCCAAATTTACAAAACGCACAACTCACAAGACCACCGCTCCTTTAACCGGACAGGGACGTTATGAGCCCTCAAGTCAGCTGCTGACTCCATTGCCTAAAACAGGGGCCAGTGCATTCGGGGATGTGAAACCAACACTACTGAGTGCCCAACGAAAGTTGGCCCTAACCCAGAGGATCAACAACACCCCAACCCGGAAACAGCATACCGTTTCGCAAGCATCAAACCAAGATCCGGGATCTACTAGAAGACTTATGAACCATCAAGAGAAGGCTGCGAGCCACTTCAAAACCTCCCCGATACCCTCTAATGACATAAAAATGAACTCACGAATTGGCTTCTTCTCCAAGTTGTCCGCCCGCTTAGCTCGAAGGAATATCCAGCAGGACCTAAAGGAAATCAACGGCCATGTCAAAAAAACTGGCAAATAGCCAGGTGCCGAGGATAGAAAATAAGAAAAGCCCAACCCTGAACTTACAACCGCAAGTGATACAGTAGACCCTTCCCGAACGGACGATCGACCTTGAGTATTTTTAATGAAAACGACTTAAAATTTAGTATTTGAAATAGCTGTTAATTTAATAGATATGTGTTACGAGCTGAGGTGATCGTTCTGAACTGATCTTGAAACTTGACTGTCAAAAAAAAATTTAAATAAATTTAATCGATCGCTTTATCTCTTTAATATATAAATTTTTTATAATTAGTTTAAATAATCAAATAAATCTTTTTTAGTATAAATGTAAAAAATATGTTTTTCCTCAATATCTTTTATATAGAAATTAATGATTATGAAATGTTATGGACCTGTGATGAATGAAAACGATCACCCAGAAAGAAAGAAACATTAACCAATTGGCTGGAACACTAAAAGGGTGAACATAAAAAACAGCAGCAGCAACAATTTTAGTTTGCGTGTCGTTTTCACATTAAATGGAGCGGTGCGAGGGATTAGGAGGAGAGAGGGGGTTTGAAACTAAAAATACTTAGGGGGTGGAGATACCCCCTGAGCAACACGAAACCGCAATCATTTTGCACTTTTCGAGGCAACAACAAGAACAACAACAACTACAAAGGTTAGTTCAAGGGGTTGGGGGTGGTAATTTGAAGGCGTCGAGCGGCGGAAGGAAAAGGCGTTCACAGCCGAACATAACAATATCCGGAAAGAAACCAATAACAAACGGGAAATTCCGCAGAAGGGCCGACGACTATATCTATTTTTTTTTTTTTGTTGCTTTTGGTGGGAACCGAGTTGGAAAAAGGATGTCGAAGGGGTGGGTTACCTGGCTATAAAAGGGTGGTTTAGGACTGATTGGACCCATTGGGAGCGGAAGCAGAGCGTTTAATTCGTTAACTGACGGAAGAAGGTGACTGGGAATAAGTAACAGGTCGCACATAAATTAGACGGGCCAGCTAGTGCATTAATGTGCATATGCCCACTCTTCGCAATTGTTCTCCCACAAATTCAGACCACCCTAGTAATTAGGCTCTTACTCACTCCTGGCGACTGATAAGATTGGGCCCAAACCGAAATGCAAACAAAAATACTCGCGGTCTATTTGCATGGGACTAGAACGGAGCAGAGCTTCGATTGTTTGCTTTAAGGGTAAACCGCACTCGCATTTATAGATATGGATATGGAGATATATGCATATAGATGATGGTGCTGATAAATAGTACTTGAAGCAAATAAAAGTGCCTATGCAAACAGGTCGAGTCAATAATTTAACTAAAAGCGCGCGCCATCGATTAGATATAGACAGGCGACAGTTGACAGTCGTGGTTTATCAAGAACTGAATCTGATAAGATAGTCACTCCACAGAAACAGAGAAACAGTCCATGTCGATGATCCTTCCTTGAAACCCCATTTAAACACCCTGAAAGTATGCTGCAAAAGTTTCACCCGGAAGTGCCAATAAGAAAGCCATCTAAGACTAATCAGCAATGTCTCGCAGAACAAAGAACCTGGCTAATTTGCGGCAACAATTCGTAACGAGCATGTAAATGAAAGTTTAACTGTAACTGCAAGTTAAACCCATTTATCCAGTGGGTTGGGTGGCAAATTGGCCAAGTGTAAGCCAAGGCTCTTGACATCTAATTGAGGGTGGATTCGTCTTCGTTTCTTTTGGGGGGGCACAGCACCGCCTTCAAGTGTCTGCCGGCAACGCCTTGAGTGTGACTTGGGTCCGGGTCTCAGAGTCCTGAACTCTGAATCCTTAGCCACTGCCACCCACAATTATGTCAATAGCCAAGTTTTCAGGGCCAGTCGAGATTTGGTAGTGACAAAAGGTTTTCCCCTTACCATCTTTCCCCCAATAGCGGTTTGTATTGTTTACCCTGGGTAAATATTTTACGGCCCAAGAAATGCCACAAGAAACTGTAACAGAGTCCTGTGCTAAGGGGCTTAACCTGCTGAAATGTCAAGTGGGGCCGTCGCTTCTTTTGATTTTTCACAATTTTTCCTTTCGTTTGCCTTTTGCGGTCGCTTAAGAAACATTTTCCCAGGCTTTTCATCTTTTTTTTGCTCGGTTTTTTCTTTGGCATTGTTCTCTTCGCGCTTGCCAATTAGTCCTAGCCATTTTCGAATGTCCTTTTTGTTTCTACCCTAGCCAAGAATTTTTTGTGTTTCTTATGCCGCAACCCTTAATTAATGGCTAGCTTATTCCTCAACTTTGAGCCTCAGCCTGAGTTTAGTTGGCCAACTATTTTGTCTCATTTTCCGCCTGACTTAAGCGCTTAATAGTTTCTAGTTTTTATATGCCATAGTTCTGTATCCCTGCCTTGATCCTTATTGGTGTGTCTTCTTTGGCTTGCACTTTTCTTGCTCAAGTCGAAAGTTTTTCTTATTGGAACGGGTTAGGAACTTTGCTTGTGTTCGTCCTTGTTTTTTTTTGTGGTCGCCCGGTAGTTAATCAATTTTTGTCTTTTTTTTTTACCCATGAATTGTGTAAAAAGTTTAGTCTACAAGTATGTTCGTTACCAAAAGGGGAGGGAGTGGGTATTTTGGGACAAGTCTTTTTGTGGTCGGGTGCAAGGGAAAACTTTTAATTAAGAAAACCTTGAAGTGATTTATTGATTAGAACTCGGCATGGTCAAACTTTCTGTGGTCGCAGACAACCCACTCTCAACTTTCTGACTTTTCTTTAGCTGGAGGAGGTTCTTCATTGTGTCTCTACCCGAAGACAACCAATGAAACGCTATCTATCGTTTTTTATGAGAAATAATTGAGGTGGCTCCTCTTCCCCTACTAAATCAAGTAGTCTGACTCAAGTCAACAAATGCGAAGCGCGGCGAAATCAATTCTCTGTCTCACTCTTGCTTTAGAATATAGAAAAAGTACCGATTCGCTGCTTACGGAAGCGCAAAGAAATACACCCACTTTCCCTAACCACTGACTAAATATCCATACCATACCAATCCAAACTTATATTCAGTCTGCTCAACTGGCAGAACGAAACTTTGGACCCAGCCCACAGAAACTTTGGGCATTATTATTACTGGCCAATACGCAGTAAGAAATAAAGTCGAGGAAACAACAAACAAAATGGTGAGCACTTCCGCCCGGCCCGAAAGTAATTACCAAAAGTCGGTAGTCGGTAGTTGGTAGTCGGTAGTCGGGAGCTTCAACTTGGTCTGTGCCGCACATTTCACGCCTCCGCCCTTTGGGCTCCCCTCTCTTGTAAAGCCATCATTGTTTTAATTGTAAACAATATGAAGATAATCAGAGACCCGAAATCAGTGCGTGGCAGGGTAGAAACTGCAGTTCAGGTGCCCAGTTCTTGGTGACACATGCCCAGACCCACCTTCAACGCCAACTCCACCTCCACTCTTTCACCCACACTACTTTTTTAAATACCAACCCAGCCAGCGGAAGTGTCGCCGTGACTGTGGGCACAACAAAAAAGCGGAACTACTCTTGAAAGATTTGCGTTGGACAGGCAGGCACCTTTACCTGGCCTGCTGCTCTGTCTGCGGCTTTTCATCGGAACCCGGCAACTTTCGCGGGCTGAGGCTGCTGAGGCTGTCATGAGTTGCTGGCCCTCGCATATTATTAACGTTTTAATACGTATTTGTGCTGCCCCTCCCTATACCCTGCTTTCCTGCTTTCTGCCACTTTGGTGCGTGCTGCATGGCAGGGGGAAATGGTAATGGGTATGGGCAGTAAAATGGGCAGGGGATGGAGTTGGAGAACAGAGCACAGAGGACAGAGGGTGTGTCTCGACCACTTGTTGTGGATCGGAGCACGTGGGAAAGTGGAAAGCGGTTGTCGATGCGAATGGGACCATTGAGTTTCCGACTGGGCTTACACTTGACAATATTGTTATTAATTTTGAACAAAGGAAGTCATTTTTGTTTATAGTTCTTGTAAAATTGCTTTTTACTTTAAAATCTGTTTCCTATTTCTCTTACCCCACTTTAAGTATATATTTAATAATTAGACAAAGCAATTAAAACGCATTTATTATTATCAATAGATACTTGTCATTAGGATACCCAATATTCTGAGTGTAGCTTAGAGCCTTGGCATGACCAGAGCAATGCAGTCGAGCGATCGAGATAGCGCCGAATAAAGCTGGATCCGACTAGAAAACAGTGCAGCGGGATGGGATGCTTGAATGATTTCGCCATATGAGACGCGACACCAGCCCAAATCGACTCAGATCGCCTCACGCCAAGTGCTCGTGCATCCGGTCTAGTTTTGGGGGTTGGGCTGAGGCTTGATTCGCCTGCGCTAGCTTATATAAGTCTATGGCAAATGGGTGTCTCCTCGTCTATGTGCGGTGTTTGTATTTGTGTTGTGTGCTTCTCTCTAGATACTAAATACTAGATACTAGAACTAGATGGCATCGCACAGATGCTAGTACTTGGTGCTCGTACTCATGCATGGCGCGCACCAAATACGAAATAAATTACACTTGATTATCTTGTTGCTCGCCTGGCTGCTGCTCGACCGCTGATCTGTCGCAATAGTTTGTCCATGTCCGAAATAGGCGAACAAAAAACAAGAAAGATCTAGAGTTTCCATTCCAACGATAGTTGAATACTCTTACTGCAAATACTTTTACTCGACTTTTAGGCTTAAAATGATATTCATAAGAACAAATTTTCTTTTGAAGTTCAAATTTAAATGCAAAATAAGTAAGGATTAATTTCAATGATACTTATTGCTAACTCTACATTATTTCCTATAATTTCTAGTCGATTTTCAACTATCAGTCTACCGATAAAGACTACACTAATTGCTTTTATCAACTTATCTTATCTATAGTTTAGTTCTGTTCAATTAATATATGAGCTGTTATTTATGGTCTGCTCTTATATATTCTCCGAAAAGGGGACTAGTGGTGAAATTTACGAGGAGCTGAGAACATTCTAGATTTTTATCCAACCTTTTTGTAAAATTCTATAGGCCTTTAAATTAAGCAGAGTATCATAGACCAACAGAAAGGCGGACAGACCGACCCTGGACATGTGTTGATATTCTACAAGTCATTTGCTGACTTAATTTCTAGCGCTTGAAACGGAATAGAACGGAACCGAGCAGAATGTTGTTGTAGTTTCCAATGGATGGTGGAAGGGGTATGGGGTATGGGTGGTCAGTGGGTGGGTTTTGGGTACTCGAGAGGATTGTGGGGGTCATTTCGATGAGAGCCGCGACATTTGCTCAGCGAGGCGTGCAACTTTGGCCGGCGCTCAAGTGAACGCTGCCATTGGCCGGCGCGCAAGTCAGATATTTTGCTCGGAATCAGGCTATACTATATTCTATATACTATATGCCCCGAGTGTGTGCTTTATTTAATTCCAGATAATCATCGCGACTTGTTGCTGCTGTGACTCTGTCTCTTTCTGCTTCTGTGCCGGGTTTTAGGGTAATTTTCTTTTCGCAATTGAATGAATTTGCGTTTCGGTCTGCCACTATACTAGCCAGCCCCCTTCGTATACCCGTCGTCGTTATACAAAAATTTTTTTCTATATTGTTCGGACTCAATAAGAGATTATTCGAGGGCTCATGTGTATTTAGATGTATATTTAGATGGTTGCGCTCAGCTGCATGGTAGAAATTTTCACTTCCGTTCTTAAAACGATTTCCGGCGCTCAACCATCAGAGGAGTTGGCCGTGCATGGCGAAAAGGTCTAAAGTTACGAAGGCCCAAAACTTTCTACATGACATTTCCACCTGGATGCTGGCCAAAGTTCCAGAGTTCCGTACAATGTGCTAAACATTTCGGTGTGTGGGTCGCATTTGAAACTTTCTTGGTAGCAAAATGTTAAACAAAACAAGCAACTTGCCTGGGTCTTGGGTAGGTTTTAAGAGCGAAGGAATGAGCTCGAGGACTGCATGGCCATTGTGCGCCTAAAAGTCAACTTTAATTTAGCATTTTTCATAAGTAGCCTTAGGTGCACTTACTTATGCACTGGAAAGAAAACTGTGAGTGGAGAAGAAGGCTACGCGGTGGCTGCACATGAGCAACTCAAGCCGTAGGGCTAAAGTTCCTCCACCAAGTGGATAAAAAAAAAACAAAACTGGCAATAACAAGTAAAAACAGCAGGAAAACTCATTTACACGGCATCGAGCTGGATGAAATAACAAGTCTGGGTGGAAAATGGGAAATGCTTAAGACTTGCTTCCTTCTATTTTGTCGCTTAAGCTGAAAATAATTGCAGCCTGCTTGTAAATCCAACAACGCAGCAACTAGCGGCGTCTGCTGTCAGCAAAAGGATAACACGGCGCCTCATTACACACACACACACATATATAGACAGGGTAGAGGTATGACACACACATGCAACTTCAGCAATTTCCGTTTCCGCTGTTGCACTGCACTGTTCCCTACACCTACCACTATACACACCATCTTCTTCTAGCCCAGACGCCTGTGTTTGTTTTCCTTTTTTTTTTTTGATTTCCTCCCAGCAGGTCTGCAGCTGCGGGTGGAAAGTCAAAGAAAATGTCTGCGTGAAGAGCTGGGTTGGTAGGAGAAATTGAAACGGACACGGGGCAGATGCAGATGCCCCACAACGGCCATCTCTCTCTGTCAGTTTTCTTTGCCATTTCATCTTAAGTAGCACACAAATAAACAAAGGCAAACAAGCGAGGATTTCATGAGTCCTGCAGCTCACAAAGGCGCCTCTCCATATGGCAGCACTTTTCGATTAAGGATACTTTGCCCCTGCATCTCATCTTCTCTCTCTCTCTAGATATATATATGAGTGTGTGTGTGTTGACTTTCTAATTAAAAAATGAAGTCCACTCGAGCACAAAGGCGTTTCATTAGACCAAGACTGGACGCAGACTTAAAGTTAAAGGATAAAGTGAAGTGGACTTACCAAAATTTAAGCGGCTTTCTCATTGGATAACTTCTCGATATGGTGTAACCTGCAAGTAAAAAGCAAACGATGGCACAGGGCGCAACGTAATTGTGAGATTAGTAATTTGGTCATTTGGTTCAGATGGTAAGCTGAAATAGTTGTGGAGAATTGCAAAAAGGGGGAGTTCACAAGCCCTAATTCTTAAGGAAATCTGAAATTCTGCCTTTCAAAACAACTAACTAAACTTTATTATGTACATTGCGAGCTATTTGGCGGGTTTATAGGGTTAATATTTATAAGTAATTGGATGGATTTGCAAGTCACAAGCTGCAAGCGGGAAATAAAATAAAATTGGTTTTTGGGAGTTCGTAAAATAAGAGTAATTATTGGGTTGGTGGATACTTAACGAAATAGTCACTAATAAAATTAAAATTTCTATGGCTGCTGATATTAAAAAATCTATATTTTAGACAAGCTTTTTCATTTAAATGTGTAATTGCCTATATTTCTTAATTAATATATAAATATAATTATAATTTTTTAATATCATTTCCATATTGACAAAATTATTATCAACTCAATCTAAAATACTAAAATTATCATTTTTCAGTAATTATTTAATTTACGTAATTTAGAAAACGAAATAAGCTTGCAGCTTCTCTATATATCATCTCAGCTCTTAGCTATCTATTCTTCACTTTTACAATTTTCTAAACAAAATATTATATTTTGAAATGTTCATTTCGGGGGTAAATGTTCTAGTTTTGTTTGGTTTGTTTTCTTTGAGTTGCTTTTGTTTTTTTGCACCAATACCATTTGCGATATTTTACCCTTAATTTAAGTTACAATGCCAGTGGCGAGTGCGAATCAAGCCGCTTCAGAGGATCGCTCCGCTTCATAGCGGTCGTGTGTTCAGCGTTGGCAGCTGGCGGCAGGAGCGGCGGCAGCAACAGTCGCTCTCAAGGAGCTGGACTGTACTGCTGCCAGAAGCGGGCGGGAATTGTCCGCAGACCGCTCAGGTCGCTGGTGATGCGAATTGGAATTCGGATGAGGGCAGCTCATTTTCTTGAATTTTGGCCGAGTCGTTGTGCACAGATTTTGATTTTTTAAAGAGGGACTTGGGATGGCGAACACAATTCACTCTAGCGCTGCGGTCAACGGAGTTTTGGGACTTGGGGTCATCAGGGGTCACAAATGGCACATTTTCTTTTTTTTAATTGAATTTTTCTTTTGCCGCTAAGGAAATCATTTTTTTTATTTAAGGCACCGCCGCACGGCTTTCTACAATTCTTGTCACTTTATTGCAAGGCACGCCGAAAATTATGCCACACTTTTCACTGTTTCATTTCCGGTTATTTGGTTTTAGTTAATTATATTTAGTTATTTTATACGGTTTGTTACGCAAAGGTTTTCCAAAGGTTTGTTGCCGCAGCGCTTTTGGTTTTCCAAGTTTAATTTAGAATTTCGAACATTTTCGATTTGTTATGTTGTCAGACTTCTCTTTTTTGTGTTTTATAATTTAAATTTTATTTGGGCTTGATTTGGAATTTCTATTGATGAAAAAAGTATTTATTATAGCTTAAATAACATAAGATTTATAATATAAAATAATTTTGGATAATATTAAAAAGAATAAAAATAATAATAAATAAAAAGAATATATTAATAATATTTTAAATAAAGTTAAGTTGTTACATTTAAAATAAATAAAAACATTTACAATTATGGCATATAAAAAATTAAATGATAAGTTATTTATAAACTTAATATAGATATATACAAATTATTTATTTTATAACAAAACAAATAATTTTTAAAAGTTTATAAAATCATTTTAGATGATTTATTTTTATTATCATATTTAATGTTATTATTTGTAGCACTTTTTTTAATTCAGAACATTTATTTTCTGAGTTGATAAATTCTTGTTGTTTTTTCACAGTCGTAGTTAAGGCTCACTTTGTCACAGTTTTAAGAATTTATTTGATTAAAATTAACATTGCATTAAACATTTTTGTTGTTGAGATGCTCTCATCATCCCCTAACCTGGCACATACCATCATGGAAGTGTGAACTTATGGGACTAACTGGTAACTGATAACTGATTTCTGGTAACTGCGCTGTTGTTGTTCCCTAGCTGAGTGACCAACTGACTAAGGATGAACCAACTGCTCCAACTGTTTCAACTGGCCGCTGCTGCGGCGCTGCTTTCGCTGCAAGCCAAGACGATCAAATGTCTCCCAAGAAACGAAGCCCCAATGCTTTTATATTCGGCTCCGAGTGTGCCAGGGGTCTGTGTGTGAGAGTATTTATATAAAATTAGACACGACCCGCTGTATCTCAACTATATAAGTATGTCCTGCTGCTGCCGCTGGTCTGTGTCTCTGTGTCTGTGTGAAAAGTTGCTGACAAAGTTGAGCGGGGCTGCGGCGAATCTGAGGCTCTGGCTGCCTTGGGCGCTTTAGATAATTTCCTGCCAAGTTTTATTTTTCCCCATCAAAGCCAAGACGCGGCGCCTGCCAATGCGCAGGCAGGATAATTGCGGGCTAACATGTCGTATGCGCAATGTGGCCACCAATGCCGCAGCAACAGCAGAAAGTGGCGCCAGCTTGCGTGTGTGTTAGTGTTCGATGACTTTTTTGTATTATAATTTTTTTTTGTTGGTTTTCTATTGGAGTGTGTGTGTGTGTGTGTGTTTGTGGACCTTTGGTTGGCTAATCGCGAAAGAAGGCAGCGAATAAAGGCGCCGCAAGTTGCACGTACCACAAGACAGCGACACTTGAACTAATTGAGGAGGATCTGTGACTGGGTTCGATGGGCGAGACGATTGAGCTGGCTGAACTAGGCTTTAAATGGTTATTTCTAAGTTATTTGATGATTGAATTTATTTATTAATATTTATATTCATTATTTATTTTAATTAATTTTATTAAAAGAAATTATTTTTTTTTTATTTTATTTAAAACTGATTTGAATTGCTGCTTCAACTCAGACACACAGCTAATGCACGCTATACAATTTAGTTGTTTTTTTATATTTTGTTTTAATATTTTATTATTATTTTATTTGGAATAATTTATTTGGAGTGATTTGAATTTTTTACACAAGTCGAGGCGGCGTTAGTCGGCGTCGTCGATAGAAGACATACGCAAGCAAAACTTCTGCCAGCGCGCGTGACTGGAAACGTACTGAATTTTGTATTCTAGCCTGTGAAAGTAAAGTGCCAGAAGACCAAGGCGCTGCCTCAGTCGAAGTCGAAGTCGAGGATTCGGTCTCCGTTTCCGTTTCCGTCTCAGCTACCGCTGCTGCTGCTCAGTCAACGCCTGCCCACATAAGTGTGCTACACTTTCTTGCAAGCAGGCGAGAAGGTCCTCCCTATACACCAACTCCTACACCCTGGCATCCCTTATCCTGGCATCTGCGATAACGAGCTGCCTTTTCTATATACAAACGAGCGTCGTCGCTTTTAAATATATGTATATCCCATATAATAATATATATTATTTATATATGTATTAGGCGACGCCGGCAGCGACAGAGGCAGCAGATAATTTCCTACACGCAGTAAGTGCAAGTAAGTGTGCGCCTGCTCTCACACACACACACAAACACAAACGCACGCATACCTGCACGAAGAAGCGCTTCAAGGAGGAGCCGATTGCCGAAACGAGCGACCACGAGCGGGACGAGCGGTATGAGGCGACGTTGAGCGGCCGGGCGGGCGGGCGGTACAACCGTACGCGCGCGTAGCTTAAGAAGGACTAGAAGAGAAGAAGCAGGCAGGCAGCGGCCGCAGCAAGCTGAGGACCTTGCCGAGTGGCAATCGTAGCGGATTCGGGAATCGGAAGTCGGATGCCGAAGCTGCTGCGTAGGTGTAGGTGTAGCCGCTGCCTCAGGATAATGTAATGCACTCACACGCACACATGCACACATTCAGAGACGCCGGCAGAGAGAGGACGCAATTAGAAAGCAGCAGGACACGAAGTAGCCGAAAATCAGGAACGAAGGGTACGAAGACCCGAAGCCTGCGGCTGGCAGTCTTCGTATTTGCCGGTTCAGACACTTTTCAAAGGAGCTAAGCCTCTCTCTGTCTCTCTTTTTATCACCCCTCTCGCTCTCTCTCTCTCTCGCTCGAGACTTCTCTGCCAGCGTCTTCTTCTCAAGAGAACACACACTATTTGCTTACCCGTCGGAGGATTCGGAGCATCACATGAGCAATTCTGCGTATCAAAATTGAGTTTTGGACTCTGTAGTTTCGAGTTCGTATAAAAAATATATACAAATCATAATAATACGTATATATACTTATAAAAATGTTGCCAACAATCTTTTTGCTTTGTACTTTTGATTTTACATTTGAATTTTGTAACTTGTGTCTTTGTCTTCATCTAGTGTTCATTTTTGTTTATTTTCAATTTCTTCGCGATTTGTTCATAATGTTCTGGTTTTTACTTTTCGTTTTTTTGTTTTTAAACATATATTTATTGTTAGATATTTTTTTAAGAACTAAAATGGACTGATGATATTGTGTTGTGGGAGGGCAAACAAGTTGAAACAAATAACAAACTGAGAATCGTCGAGAGTTCCTGCCGGTTGAGAGTTTAGTCGAGACTTTTGGAGAGACGGCGAAAAAACACTTGAGAATCGTTCTTTAGAAGCCGGTAAATATAATTCGATTCATTGATTTTTTGTTTGGTCTGAATGAGTTCCTTTTTTGATTCGATGTTTTGGACACACGATCTATCAACTGTTTTTCTGGATAAGAATTTTCTTATGATTTTGTTCGAGTTTTAGTTGCTGATTTAGTGTGTGTTTTTTTTTTAAATATATTTTTTTTTTTTTGGTTTTGTTTTTGAGTGCACGCAAACTTAATACTTAAAAATAAATGAAAACGTAATTGAAAAATCCGAAAATAAAAATTTGTTTGTACGACGACGTTGATGTGAAGCTTTGTACTAAAAATGCGAAAAATTATTTCGCCGCGAATAGGCCGAGGACGACCGCTGACGGTGTCGTTGCGTTGTCGTTGTCGTTGCCGCGACTCTCTGCCCCAGCTGCCCCATCGAACCAGCATGTGTGTATGTGTATATGGGTGTGAGTACGCTGGTATGTGTATTGGCAGCAAAAAATGTTTGGCCGCCGCAGCCGCGAAAAAATACGCGAATATCCTGGAGGGTGGCGGCAGTAGCAGGAGGATATTTTTGCAGGGAGGTATTGCAAAGCCAAAGGCAACAGCAAAAACACGCACACATACAGAGCGTGGGGCTTTGCAAATAAAATCAGCGACAGCGCTGCCAGGACTTCCTATAACACCCATCCACCCAAAACAGGATACTCTCCCACTCACACATCCACACTCTGCTAACATTGGAGGGGAGCTTACACAGACACATAAGCTCTTTGAGCTAGAGCTAGTGCGCATTTCAAATACTCGTATATGATGGAGGGGCAACTGGCAGCGCTGCCGCCGTCGACGTCGCTGCCGGTTGGGGCAGAAGTTGCACAAAATGGAGTATGGGCAGCCTGACTAGGTGTACATTAATATGTGTGTATGAGTCTGGTTAGGCAAGTGTTAGTGTTGGGGGAGAGCAGCAAAAAAAGAGCATCCCTCAACGGGGCTTAAGACTTTCTGAGGACATTCTCCTCTTCTCAAGATTCCCCAATGTTCGAAATGCATTCCACAAGATACTCCAAAATATGGCCTCTTCTATGAGATTGCTGACAAGAAAATACTCAGAGTTGCCGTCGGTACTTTCGTTGGGGAAAGTACTCTAAGCTTATGTCTCTAAAATCAACCGAGTTCCTAGGAGATTTGCCCCATTTTCTCACTGATTTGTCTTTGTTTTTTAGCCTGCAAACACGTGCTTAACTTTGGTAAGTACTCAAATGAAGCTAACAAGTAGTTTCAGTTATAGGAAGAACAAAAGAAAACTTAATTGTTTAAAAATAAAGCAGATGAAAAATTGTTAGACATGATAAACTAAATAATAACATATATATGTTAATTTGAATCTATTTAAAAATGAATAAGAACAAACAAAAATTTAATAAAGGTCAATAATAGTTTAATTTTCTTTATGTTGGTTAAAACTCATGGAAAAATGGCAACAGGGGTATTGCTCAAAAAATCATTTTTAATAACAAAAAGTAATTATTCAAGCAAACAAAAAATGCAGTCACAGATTTATCTTCATTTTCCTACCTATGCAGCATCTTATAATATAATAATGATATACCTCAAGACATATAATTATATTCATTCTCCTGAAACTCCCCAATTTATACCTCCCAGCTTCTAATTCTATAATAAAAAAAAAAAAAAAAAGAATGAATTTTCTAATGTTTTCATGATGGACAAGAGCATTTTCTGGGAATTTTAACATGGGGCATACGCATATTTTCGATCACGTACAGGACAATTTACTGATGTTATTTATCCATGGCGGTGTTCAGTTTCTCTCTCGTGTCCACGGCTACAGCCTGTGTGATCCCAAGGATCCTGGTGAGTCTTGTTCGGGAGTTCGTTGGCCACTCTAGCATTTTTGTCTGCGTCGCCGTCGCCGGAAACGCGGATCGATGCGAGCGGTCCAGCTGAATGAGCTGACCCAGCCGCTCCAGAGGATCGTGATGAAGCTCTGGCGGATTTTCAATCGGTTGCAGTGCCTCGCAGTATCTTTTGGATTGCGCCAGGATCAGAGTGTGTGCAAACATGAGAGGTCAGTCAGTGGACTTTTATTTTGGATTTCCCGTTTGAATATTATTGATTTGATAGCATCTTGCTTTTCGAAGGATATAGTTTTCTGGAGACAAGCATCTTAAGGGAATTTTATAACAGGATACAGATGACAGCAGACGACGACGCAGACGAGTGGACGCCGTTGACTGGACTGTTTTGATCGAGTTCCGGATCTTTGGGCTCAGGATGTCAGCAATATGTTTTTGGTTTAATCGAGCGTTTTTAAATTTTGGTCTTTATTTGAGGGGGCAGCAGCGGTGTGTTATAGAAATCAATGGGATATGTCAAAAAAATCAGTTGATTGCATTAGAATTTCGTTGTTTGCTTTCAATCGAAGCTGTTATTGTAATATACACCCGCTGAGGCAGACACACGCACGCACACACACACACACGAACGCACACGAAAGGACACCCGCAGGAGGATGCATATATTTTTTAGATAGATATATATTTGTATATATTTTATTTCATTTATTGTATATAAATAGTATTTGACGGCACTCGAACTGCAACTGAAGCCTCAGCCCCTTAGCGGTATGGGGGGCGTGGGCGTTTGACTTTGGGGGCGGCAAACGCGCGCGCACTTTGCACCCATTTATATATATATATATATCTATATTCTATACCGTATATATATATATATATGCAATATATATATTTTATATATATATAATAATGCGGCCTCACTCCACTCCACTTCACCGGCGTGTGTGTGTGCTGAATGCTGGTTGCTGGATTTTTTAGAAAATAAGCAAGTCCGAAACTGAACCGAACCGTCGACGACTTGGACCAACTCTGCGGCTCCTCGCTGGAGCGGCAGCTATCGTTACGTGGCGTTGGCGTTACTTCTTTTGCTCGGTGCGGTGCGTCGAGCCGAGAATATAAAAAAGCAATGTTCTACTCAAAAGACGTCCAAAAGCCGTATGCCAACTGCGGTGCCCGGCCGATGCCTTCCGATGCCGATAGATGCGATGCGTTGCGTTGCGTTCAGTTCGTTCGGCGTTCCGTCATCGCGACACGGACACGGACTTTGGCAAAACGACGACGCGTACATGGCCTCCCCACCTAGGGTGCACCAACCCTTCCTTCCCCATCGACAACCGCCAAAAAAAGCTACAGACGCGCAAAATGCAGCGAACCCCCCAGCCCCTGCCACCCTACGTATGTAAAAGCATCACTGTTTAAGTTTTTTTCCTTTGGCAAAAGTTCGCGCGCGCAAAAAGCACTCACACACACACACACTGATGGGCCCATGGCATCTCTATGTACTTTGACCACTCGATGTGCGAATGAAGCGCGGCCTGAAAGGGGGCAGGGTGGGGGATGGGAGAGGAGGGTGAGTAGGTTCGCCAACGCTGCCCATCAAGAAATAGAAAAAACTTGGCTCCAACTCTACGCAATGTCTACGCTCCCACACTTAAGCCACCCACCCACCTCAACCCATTCCATCCCATCCCATCCCACCATAACGACCCTTTTTCGAGCCGACCAACCACGCACAGCGATGCTGGCAAAGAAATGCAGCTGCACCACCGCCTCCTGCTCCTGCTTTTTTTGGGCCCCCAGATCATTACGACTTCCATCATCATCATCATCATCATCGTCGCCGTCGTTGTCGTCGTCATCCTACTGGCAAACGCACAAATCACGCAGTCAGGTGGGTGGATGGGCGGCAGGGTGGCTGAAGGGCAGTTGCTTGCTGCACGTGCTGGGGCTCCAGGAACAGCTGCTACTGCTGTGGATACTACTGCAATCGCCCCCTCTTCGGCTGCCATGTAAATTTTCCGAGGCCTGGTCAAGTAAATAAAATGCAGCCAAGGGGGACGAGGGGGCAGAGAGGCAAAGGACTTCTAAAAATAAGCCGAAAAGAGACAACACAACCAAAAAAGAAGCAACCGCCTCAGTCTAGCTGCTTGTATTCACGTGTGTGCGTGTGTGTGAGAATCCTGGAGTGCAATTGCCTTGCAGCGTTGCATCCTTTCGGCTGCACTCGCAGCTCTCGTTGCGCAGCCCTTGCTCTCGCACCCTCTCTTTCTTTCCTACCCACTCTCGCTCTCACTCACTCACTCACTCAGTCTTTCTCTCTTGGCTCTTTGGAGTTTTCCTTTTTTCCCATCTAAACTGTGGCAAGTTGGCGTCGACAGCGATGCCTGCGCCGACTTCGCTGCCATCTGCTATTTACTAGTGCAGTCGCTGGTAAATGAAGCGGCCCCCAAGCCACCCATCACCGCCTAGACACCCAACCACCCAAAACACCACCCACTGCCCCTTTAGCTGCTGCTGCTATCTTCTAGTTGGCAATTGCATTGCCTGCAATGCACTTCTCCTGTTGGGGAAACGGGAATGCATTGCGCATGTCCTTGTTTACATTATGTGCATGACTCCAAAACTTCGCCCCTAGTGTGAGTGTGTGTGTGCTTGTGTGTGAGGATGTAGAAAAGCAAAAAGTCTACAACTACAACTAAACCTGCTGCTGCTGCTGCTGGGGAGAGTTGCACGCACACCAGCAACACGATGCTGTTGCTGTTGCATGTTGCTGCTGCAGCTGAACGCCGTCATCCGACGACAGGACACGAAGTCCTTCGAAACTAGAGCCGAGCTCAAGCAGGGAGAATGCCTTCCGTGCGATCTTCAGACCCACTGAACTAAGGAACCAATTTCTTGTAGAAAGTAATTAGTTGTAATAATTAATGTGGGAAGTTTTGAGTTCTTTCCAATGAGGAAAATTGAGAGCCAATGTTTTATGCGAAACATTCTTTCGCTTAAGATATATTTTTTAGGACTGATTTTGTTACTCTTAAATTTATTATAAAGTACTGCGATTTTATATATCTTTACATATTTTAATGAGACTTTAATCTACGACGCTTTCAAAGCATTTCAAAATCTTACTAAAGGTAACTTAGAACTTCTTATTTAAGTTTTCTTGGATTTTAAGTAAAAATTATTATCAAAATGTGAAGTTTCAAATATCATTCATAAAAGCACTTTCGATATGGGCTTTAAATCAGTAACTAGACCTTTATTTATAGGGGAAATTGCAATCTCTAAGCGTTGGTCAAGTCCTAATACATTCTTCGGAAAATATGCACTCTACTTGTTACTTTCTTCTAACACTCAAATCAACTGTCTCAAATTGTATGTCAGATAGATTTATGATCTGTACAGATCTGTGATGTTTACATATTCCTTAAGATGAATGAAAACAGCATTCAAGACTTTCTTATTTTAGAACAGAACCTATCAAAGCATTCTTTAAAGAATAGTAACCTTAATTAATATATCAATCAGAGACACTATATATTACCATAGTAATAATATGAATACACCCAGGAAATAATGTTTAAATAGAATTAACGATTTAATTGAATAAAATTAAGACTCTTTACTTACCCTCAAATAAAAGTACATCGAAAAAATATCACATCACAACAATTTTTGATATTCCGTTTGCATTTAATGTTCTCTCTAAATTTTGATTAATTTTTTATTCGTCACTATAGTTCCGTTTTTTGTTTTGCATTCTTCTTTTATATAATTTTTTTTGTAATTTATTTATATTTTTTTTGATAAATTATTATAAGAAAATTTTGCACTTGTAAAATTTAGCGTGTAATTTTTGTTGCATTCATAGACTTTTTGGTTGTTTAAAAATTTTTCAGGTAATTTCGTAGTTTTCGATTTCGAGTGTTGACTTCTGCTCTTCTGCTCCTTCTTTACTTTCTTCTCTTTTTTTTTTGACTTCCCTTGGATCTTTTCCAAAATTGTTGTGGCCGAAATGCACAATACAAAAGGTGAATTAACTAAGGATCTACGTCTGAATTTGTAGAAACTGAGAGTGTGTCGGGACGATGACGAACCTTTGGCCGAGACTTGAAGACGGAACGGGCCAGACGATATCGAAATCAAATTCAGACGTTTGAATTTTGGCTCAAATCGGAATCGGTGCGGAACTGAAACTGGAGTTACTCAATCTTTATACTTCTTCTTTTTTTTCCGGTGTATATATATTTTTATCTGCTGACTTTACGGACTTTTACTGGTATTGCCTGCTTATTTTGGTTGATTATTTGGCTTTGACTTGCTTTGACTTGTGGCTAGATGTTGTTGTTGTTGTTGTTTGTTGTTGCTTGTTGTTGTTGTTTTACTAACGAAATGCTGCGTTTGTATGGCGCTGATTATCAAGTGATTAATATTATCGATATTGGTAAAA